ACGAAAAGCCAACCGAACCATGGTTAGGTTTAACCTGGATTGGTTAATAAAATCATTGACCGAGTTTGGAAAAGAGATTCCCTCGAAATCAACGGTTTCTTCTTCGCAACGTGGACGGTTAGATCTCTCTCATCTCCCTCATGCTTCGTCGTTAGGTTAAAATTAGGGGTGCTTTTCGGTTCTATTCCACAAATTTCCTTCTGAGGAAGAATATTTCTTCTCATCTCCTTCGTTCCGAACGCTCCAATTCTCTGGTTTTTCGATCATCTTTTTCAATTCGAGATTCTGCTTTTTTCTGCGAGATCATGGAGATGGAGCGCATGATTGAGTTTCCTCACACGCATCTTGATCGTAGGCCCCGAAAGAGGGCTCGTTTGGGCTGGGACGTTGTCCCCGAGGCCCCTAAGGTATAATCTCCGATCCTCTCTTTCAGATCTGATTTTATTTTGGGTTGATTTTGGTTTTGTAGATCTAGATCTGCCGGATTTTTCTTTGTTTAGGTATGTATTAGTTTCACACGCCGAGGTATCATTTCTGATCAAAGTAGTTTAAGAAGGCCTTTCGTTCTTTTCTCTTTGTTATCTTAGATTTACGTTTTTTGATCGCTGATTCTCGTTTTTTACCATCGAGATTCCTGATTTTTCTATGATTATAGACTATTTTCTTGAGATTTATTTATTGAACTGTTGAGATAACGAGTTTCTATTGTATTTTTAAGCTCGAATGAATTATCTTGTCAGATCAGGTAAGTGTATTTTATTTATTCATTTAAATGGATGCTTATGTTTCTCTTGTTATGTATGATTTTTACTTTTAATTTCACCTCCTTTCCACGATTTGTTTAAATTCGGTGATTCCCTTTCCTTGCTCCAATTCCGTGTTTTTTAACCATGTATCTGCCTTTTATTTCATCACTCTCTTGAGTATTTCCTCTCATCTGTATTCATTCAACAAAATCTTGCATTTTCTTATGTGTTGTGGAAAATGAAGACTGTGGGTGAGGATATTAGGTCTAGGAAGGGCAAACTTTTATATGAATGGGTGACTGTGTGTAGGCCCAGGTAGGAATATGTTGTGGACAAGAGATTGGGAATATGCCAAGCTTTGCATCTTCAAAAGCACCATCAGATCATTCTTCTGATCCACTATTTGTTAAGGGAGTGGCTCGAAATGGTTCTCCCCCTTGGCGAGAAGATGACAAAGATGGGCATTACATGTTTGCGCTTGGAGATAATTTAACTTCTCGCTGTAAATACACTTGACTATGATCAAATGAATTTTTATGTTGTATCAGAATTTATCATCGTAGCTTTCTTCTCTTGTGAATAAGGTCCTTCGGTTATTTAAACGAAGGCTACAATTTCTACTTTCGCTTTCAATTGAAGACTGTATTTTAAACAATGTCCATCATTGTCGCTTACATTTATTTTCTTTTTTCAAAATTTGCCTCATCATCGTTACTTTGGAATTGCGTAGGATAGTTAGGTTTTTGGAAATTATCTTGTCTTTTCCTATGGTTGTTACTAACTTAATCTGTCAATTTTTCTTCTGTGCCAGATAAAATACATAGCAAAATGGGTGAAGGTACATTTGGACAGGTTTTAGAATGCTGGGACAATGAAAGGAAGGAAATGGTTGCTATTAAAATTGTTCGTGGAATTAGGAAATATCGTGATGCAGCTATGATAGAAATTGAGGTGTTACAGCAACTTCAAAAGCATGATAAAGGTGGCAACCGGTGAGTATCTTTTTTGTTCCAAGTCTTCCTTACTGCCATGATTTGCTCTGTAGCTCCTTTTTTCCTTTGAGGCTTTGGTTAAATGGCTTTATTCCTTGCAGTTGTGTTCAAATACGGAACTGGTTTGACTATCGTAACCATATCTGTATTGTAAGTATAAGGCTGTTTTATCTTTAGATTAATTTCCCCGATTCACTAAATATGGGGAATTAAGATTTTTGGGTGAACTTGGATGGTTATAACAGGTATTTGAGAAGCTTGGGCCAAGTTTATACGATTTTCTACGGAAAAACAATTACCGCTCCTTTCCCATTGACCTAGTTCGTGACATTGGCAGACAACTGTTGGAGTGTGTAGCATGTGTGTAGTATTTTATTGAACCTAGTCCTTTCATTTTCCATTTTTGTAGTGTCTTGTTTTCATTTCAAAACACTCCGCACATTTCTTCCAGTTGAATGGTTATTAGTATCTGTTGTACGACGTTTCCTGCAATTTTATTTAAAACGTATGTCTAGTCAGTTCTAATTTTTTGTTTTGTATCCTAATGATTTCTTTGATACTTGAAATCCAGTCATGCATGACCTACTAATGGTACATACTGACTTGAAGCCTGAGAACGTACTGTTGGTCTCTGCAGATTATGTGAAAGTACATGACTATAAGGTACTTATGTTTTATGATAGTTTCTTTGATTTTTTTTACTTTTAGTTCTCTGGGCTAAGCTTTGCTAATTACTTTGTCCATTTGCAGCAGAATTTGTCTCGGTCACCAAGGGATAGTTCCAACTTCAAAAGAGTGCCCAAGTCAAGTGCTATAAAGGTGATTGATTTTGGTAGCACCACTTATGATCGTCCAGATCAGAATTACATCGTTTCAACGCGCCATTATCGAGCACCAGAGGTTATCCTTGGTAAGTAATTTTGATTTTTGTAGTGCTACTTGCGGTGTTTTTATTTATGTTGAACTTGACCATATTATTAACTGTGTAGGTCTTGGATGGAGTTTTCCTTGTGATATATGGAGTGTTGGCTGTATCCTTGTTGAACTGTGCTCGGTATGTGTCTTGTTTGTATGTAATACGACTTTAGCAGAGTAAGGTTCGGTTTTGTTGAGTTTTCAAGTCAATATCTTTTTCAGGGTGAAGCACTCTTTCAAACTCATGAGAACTTAGAGCACTTGGCGATGATGGAGCGTGTGCTCGGTCCTTTGCCACATGAGATGCTGAAGAGAGTAGAGTGAGTATTTAGCCCTTGGTGTGTGTGTTATGCAGTAAAGAAGAACCAAAATGCTGAAATTTATTCTTTTTCGTGTATCCATAGTCGGCATGCCGAAAAGTACGTTAGAAGAGGTAGATTAGATTGGCCAGAAGGAGCAACCTCGAGGGATAGTATAAAGGCTGTTCAAAAGCTGCCTCGTTTACCGGTTTGTATTTTGATAGTGTTTCGACATGGCTGGTGCCTTTCGTTTTCAACACTAATTATATCGTTGTTCAATATGCAGAACTTGATAATGCAGCATGTAGACCATTCGGCGGGTGAATTGATTCATCTTGTTCAAGGGTTGCTTCGATACGAACCTGCCGATAGACTAACGGCACATGAAGCCCTAAGGCACCCATTCTTTACAAGGGATCCCTTGAGGAGATTGTAGTTTTTATTAGTGGGGGACGTAATAAACTGACTGGCATAGCATTTGGGCTTTTCACACTCGACTTCATGCAAACCTGTGTATAGCCGCATTGGATGGATGGATGGACGGACGGGCGGGCGGACGTATCTGCAAATTGTTTAACAAATACTTGGAGTTGGACGTGGTAGACAAAATTGTCAACAAAACACTTAATTTCTCTATATGAGTGCTTGTGTATATTAATTTTCATGTATATTTTTGTCTTCACTAACGTATTGGATTGGTAATCAGACAACACATTTGTTCATCAATATAATTACATCAATTATATCTCCACCACCACATTTGCAATTTCATTTTGCATTGAATTATGGGACTATGCTATTTGTGTTGAAACTTGGGATAATGAAATTCAAAAACAATAAATCCTAGCAGTCTCTCACAAATCGAATAATTTCTACCGAACTCAACTCTCGAATAATTTCTGCCGAACTCAACTCTCGAATAATTTCTGCCGAACTCAACTCTCGAATAGTTTTTGCCGAACTCAACTCTCGAATAGTTTTTGCAAACTCTCAAATCCTTGTCTAGTGTTGCAAGGTCAAGGAAGTTGGTGATTTAAGACCGAAGCCTTGGTGAATGGTGGTGGCGGTAACTATAGCGGTCTTAAGGTAGCGAAATTTCTTGTTGGGTAAGATTGATTTGCACAAAAGGCCGAAATTTCTTGCTAGGTAAGATTTAATCCGCACAAAAGGCGTATGGGATTGAAGCCCTATTGAACGGCTGTAACTATAGCGGTCTTAAGTTAGCGAAATTTCTTGTTGGGTAAAAAGGCGTAATGATCTGGACACTGTATTATCGGAAAAATTTAGGTTTAGAAAATTAGAAATTTTTTTATTTTGTTTCTAACCCACTTTTATAAATCTGATCTAAATTTCAAAGATTTCAAAAATACATATAAGAAAAAGAAGAGGCATTATGTGTGTTCAAGAAGTTCAAAAATTGAAAACCTTGCGCATCGACCGGAGTGGCGAGTTCTTATCCCAAAACTTCTCAAAGTTTGCGAAGAGGAATGTATCAAGCGTCAACTCACTAAACCTACACTCCACAAGAAAACATTGTGGTTGAATGAAAAAATCGTACCATAATGAACACGCAAGTCTCGGCAATTTGCTGGGGTGAGGCAATATGACATGTGATTTATCTTCTAAACCGTTAACCAACAAAGGCGATGGACACTCGTAGCCCTTACAAAGCATGGTTCGTCAAAACACCTCAATGTGAGTACCTAAGAGTCTTGAGTTGTACAACACCTGTTAAGACTACAAAGGCATATATCAAAAATCTTGATGACAGAAGCTAATAAATGGTGTATTTTGTGTCGAGGATGAGACCAAAGCACATAGGCTGTATGATCCAGTGTGCAAGAATGACGACCAACGTTTACTAACTAAGATATACTATATCCCAAACTTGAAGAGTAATAACGAAAGAGTAACTTTAGGAGAATTGTTAGTAGACCTAGTAGAATAAGTTATATAACTTATTGGACAACTATAGATTCTTTTTCATCCTTTTATTTGTTTTATATATTTCGATCCTTGGGCCATTTTCAAAGAGAAAGACTTCTATTTTTTTTGTTTGACAAAAATTTCATTATCTTTGGGAAAATCTTAGAGGAACCCACTTTTGATGTTGGATTGCAGGACATGTTTGTTGCAGGAAGTGACACAACAGCAGCAGCACTGGAGTGGACAATGGCAGAGCTGATGAGAAATCCAGCTGCCATGAAGAAAGCCCAAGAGGAAGTAAGAACAATAACAGGAAAGAAATCAAAGATCGAAGCCGAAGATATTCAAAAGATGGAGTATATTCAGTTTGTCATAAAGGAATCTCTAAGGCTCCACCCGCCAGTTCCTCTGCTAGTGCCACGCGAAACAGCAGCAGATGTGGAGATCGATGGCTACCATATTCCATCAAAAACAAGAGTTTTTGTGAACGCCTGGAAAATTCAAAGGGACCCCGAATATTGGCTCAATCCAAACGAGTTCATTCCAGAGAGGTTTATGGATAACAGTTTAGTAGATTACAAAGGCCAAGACTATGAGTTTATTCCGTTTGGGAGTGGGAGAAGGAAGTGCCCAGGAATGCCATTTGGGGTTGCTTCATTTGAACACGCCTTGGCTAATCTTCTCCATTGGTTTGATTGGAAGCTTCCCTGTGGCTGTGAACTGATCGTTGAAGAAGAAAGTGGGCTCACCGTTCGCAAGAAAATCCCTCTCCTTCTCAATCCAATCCCGTATATCTAATCATATATGAATTATTGGGGTTCTTTAGTATGTTATTAGTTTGATATGTATTTATTCGTATGCTACGAATCGCGGTCAAATACTTAGGATACAAATTATTTTTTGAAATGTGACTAGCTTTCGACCAAATATGGTTCATCTACTAGACCCTTTGGCAGCCTGGAATAACCAACAACTTGACCGTTAGTCATACTCATGGTCTCTACTTAGCACTCAGTGCGTTGGTCGAGTGGTTCCACGAAGGTTTAGTAGACTAGTAGAATGTTGTATGACAGTTTAGATCCAGCAACAATTTCAAGCTCTGAATCCCATCTCTTTTTCCATATGCCTTTTCTTCTTCTTCATACTTCTGCTAAAGCTGTTCAAACGCAAGAAACCCAACTTTCCTCCTTCACCACCAACGCTACCCATCCTAGGCAACCTCCACCAATTAGGTGCCCTGCCACACCAATCCATGGCAGCTCTTTCCAACAAATATGGCCCTCTAATGCTCCTAAAGCTTGGCCAGAAGCAAGCCCTCGTGGTTTCATCACCAAAAATGGCTAAAGAAGTGATGAAGACCCATGACATCAAATTCTCCAACAGGCCCCAAACTACTGCTGCACACGAATTGCTGTACCAATGTCAAGACATTGGCTTTGCTCAATATGGTGAGTACTGGAGACAAGCCAGAAAAGTGTGCGCTCTTGAGCTTTTTAGTGCCAAAAGAGTGGACTCTTTTCAGTACGTAAGGGATGAAGAAGTTGGTGAGCTGATAAGGCTAGTGTGGGCGGTGAGGCTGTGAATCTTAGCTAGTCGTTCCTTCAAACCTCCAACAATATAGTGTCGAGATGTGTCTTGGGAGAGAAATTTGAGGATGAAAATGGGAATAGTAGATTTGGGGTCACAGTCAGAAGGGCTATGGTGCTAATTGTGGCGTTTTGTGTAGCTGATCTTTTTCCTTCTCTTTGGTGGATTGATATTATTAGAGGGTTCATTAAGGAGTTGAAAGATTGCTCCAAAACATTGGATACATTTGTTAGTAAAGTGGTTGAAGAACACAAGGCAAAGATAAGAGATGGTGTTCTAACTGATGAATCTAAGAAGGATTTTGTGGATATCATGTTGCAGCTCGAAGAGGACAACATGATTGACTATCATTTCTCTCTTCACAACCTCAAAGGAATGTTACTGGTTTGTTTCTTGTCCATTTAATTCTCAAAGCGATCCTACTAGTTTATTTTGATTTGTTTATTTATATCGATGTCCATTTAACCTATGTGGTCTTTTTCGTTCTTTCCTTATGTGTGAGATCCCATGTTGATTAGAAACAAGAAAGACATTCTTTATGAGGGTGTGGACGGTATGCCGGTGAGGATGTTGACCCCCAAGGGAGTGTGACACCAAATGGTATGCCAGCGAGGATGCTAGTTCCCAAGGGGGTGTGACACCTGGTGGTATGCCAACAAGGATGTTGGGCCCCAAGAGAATGGATTGAAACAAAACATTTTTTATAAGGGTAGACGGGTTGGGTGTGATACCTGGTGGTATGCCAGCGAGGATCTTGGGCTCCCAAAGGCGTGGATTAGAACGAAACATTTCTTATAATAGTAGATGCCAGCAAGGATGCTCGGCTCCCAAAGGGGTGGATCAGAACAAAACATTCCTTAGAAGGGTAGACGTGTTGGGTGTGACACCCAGTGGTATGTCAGATAGGAAGCTGGACCCTCAAAGGAATAGATTGAAACGAAGTATTCCTTATAAGGGTAGAGGTGTTGGGTGTGACACCCGGTGGTATGTTAGATAGGAATTTGGACCCCTCAAAGGAGTAGATTGGAATGAGGCATTCTTTGTAAGGGTAGACGCGTTGGGTGTGATAATCGGTGGTATGTCAGCAAGGACGCTGAACCTTCAAAGGAGTAGATTGGAACGAAACATTCCTTATAAGGGTAGACGCATTGGATGTGACACCAGGTGGTATATCAACAAGGATGTTGGACTCTCAAAGGAGTAGATTGAAACGAAACATTCCTTATAAGGGTAGATACATTAAGTGTGACACCCCGTGGTAAGAAAGGGCACTAGACCCTCAAAGGAGTAGATTGAAATGAAACATTTCTTATAAGGGTAGACACATTGGGTGCGACACCCAGTGGTATGTCAACAAAGACACTGGACCCTCAAAGGAGTATATTGAAATAAAACATTCCTTATAAGGGTAGACACATTGAGTGTGACATCCGGTAGTATGTCAGTAAAGACGCTGGACCTTCAAAAAAGTTGACATCCGGTAGTGTGACACCTGTGATATGGTGGTATGTGAGTGGTAGTATGCGAGTGACGACTATAAATAAAGGCAAAAAGAACTCAGAAATTCACAAACAAGATAGTGAGAAAATGGATTTGCCAACGAAGATCCACCAACAATTTCAAGCTCTCAATCAAATCTCTTCATCTCTGTGCCTTTTCTTCTTCTTCATACTTCTGATAAAGCTCATCAAAAGCAAGAAACCCAACTTCCCTCCTTCACCACCAACGCTACCCATCATCGGCAACCTCCACCAATTAGGTGCCCTGCCACACCAATCCATGGCAGCTCTTTCTAACAAATATGGCCCTCTAATGCTCCTAAAGCTTGGCCAGAAGCAAGCCCTCGTGGTTTCATCACCAAAAATGGCTAAAGAAGTGATGAAGACCCATGACATCAAATTCTCCAACAGGCCCCAAACTACTGCCGCATACGAATTGCTGTACCAATGTCAAGACATTGGCTTTACTCAATATGGTGAGTATTGGAGACAAGCCAGGAAAGTGTGCGCTCTTGAGCTTTTTAGTGTCAAAAGAGTGGACTCCTTTCAGTACGTAAAGGATGATGAAGTTGGTGAGCTCATTGACAGGATTCGTAAGGCTTGTATGGGCGGTGAGGCTGTCAATCTAAGCCAGTTGTTTCTTCAAACATCGAACAATATAGTGTCGAGATGTGTTTTGGGAGAGAAATTTGAGGATGAAAATGGGAATAGTAGATTTGGAGACACAGCCAGAAAGGTTATGGTGCTAATCACGGCGTTTTGTGTAGCTGATCTTTTTCCTTCTCTTTGGTGGATTGATACTATTAGAGGGTTCAATAAGGAATTGAAAGATTGCTTCAAAAGATTGGATACATTTTTTTAGTAAAGTGGTAGAAGAACACAAGGAAAAAATAAGAGATGGTGTTGGAACTGATGAATCTAAGAAGGATTTGTGGATATCATGTTGCAGCTCCAACGGGATGACATGTTTGACTATCATTTCTCACCGATCAACCTCAAAGCAATCGTACTGGTTCGTTTTCTGTCAAAGCAATCGTTTATGTCCATTTAACCCATGTGGTTCACCTAAAAGAATCCTGTTTAAATGTAGAATAGAAAGGAAAGTAGGGAGATATTTTTTCTCTAACTAAATAGGAACATAGGAACAGGAAAGGTATTATATTCCTCATCTTCGATCTTGTGCTGGTCATATATATAAAAAGAGAGATTTTGAAAAATTAGGTATAATATTATATCATCCAAAAATAAATGAAGACTTCCCTGTCTCTTACTTGTGGATATCTCTAATTATCATACACTGCTTATGACAAGAAGACTTCCGAGGACATGTATTTTCATATGTGGGGAACCCTTGTTCCAATCCTAACAGTAATACATGAAAAATTTTACGGAGATGAAGATTGAAATAGGAGACAGTGATGGAGAAGATTTTCTCGTCCCTACCCTATGGACATCTCTCAATTTTTGTTTGTTGTGGACAAGAATTTCATCCTCTTTTGGAAAATTTTACAAGAACCCACTTTTGATGTTGGATTGCAGGACATGTTTGTTGGAGGATGTGACACAACAGCGACAGTACTAGAGTGGACAATGACAGAGCTGATGAGAAATCCAGCAGCCATGAAGAAAGTCCAAGAGGAAGTAAGGACAATAACAGGAAAGAAACCAAAGATCGAAGCTGAAGATATTCAAAAGATGGAGTACATGCACTGCGTCATAAATGAATCTCTGAGGCTCCACCCGCCAATTCCTCTGCTAGTGCCACGAGAAACAGCAACAGATGTGGAGATCGACGGCTACCATATTCCATCAAAGACAAGAGTTTTTGTGAACGCATGGAAAATCCAAAGGGATCCCGAAAATTGGCACAATCCAAACGAATTCATTCCAGAGAGGTTTATGGATGACAGTTCAGTGGATTACAAAGGCCAAGACTATGAGTTTATTCCATTTGGAAGTGGGAGAAGGAAGTGCCCAGGATTGTCATTTGGGGCTGCTTCATTTGAACATGCATTGGCTAATCTTCTCCCTTGGTTTGATTGGAAGCTTCCCAGTGACTGTGATCTGAGCGTCGAAGAAGAAAATGGGCTCACTGTTCGCAAGAAAACCCCCCTCCTCCTTAATCCAATGCCATGTCTCTAATCAAGTTTAAATAAATAATTCTCATGTGGGTCACTTTATTATGCTATCATATTTTGTGTAAACAAGTTTATTGGTAGTTACTAACCATAAATAAGTCATTTATCTAAACTATATTTGTCACATGAGACACTTTGAATTCGACTCTGTAACGATCCTAGTTATGAACATGAGTTTTCTAAGACATAACTCTAATTGATTTTAATGATGATGAACATACGAAGGCTAAGACATACATGTTACCTAGGGTAATATGTGAATGATGTACAAAGTTGTGTCTTAAGAATGATTCAAAGATGAAAATTGTAGGGACCTCATGCATATTGTGTATTTATATACATCGGGTTACTTTCCCATTTATGATGATGAGTAGGGATGCATACACTATGATGATAATAATCATCATCATGCCTCACATGATATTCGGGGGTTTGCTGACCTCCAGACGTCTAGCTACGGACAACTAACTCGACTATGATGGGTCCAAGGGGTGCGAACCGGTTGGGACTCACGCTTGCACGTGTGAGTCATGTGTAGGGAACACTAAACATTCAGATTTGTCTGGACTGGAGGCCACCTTTACGATGGTTTTAACAATAGGTCCCTAATCATGAGTTGCATGCGTTTGTATTCGTTGACCCCAATAGTGGGGTCACTTACTCAAGTTGTGTGCTACTTCTATTTCAGGTAAAAGCAAGGTAGCCTTGTACGGTTGACAACGACATCGTAAATAAAGACTATGACACATGCATAAGATAGTAGTATTGTCATACGTAAGTTAGTTGAAATTTAGGGTCGTTACAATTGATATAGAGATCTAAGTTATAGATTCGGTAGACTAGCCTACGAGATAGGTTTGACATGTTCCATGGTCCGACCATAGATGATCTGTCACCGTCAGGTATGTCATACATAAGATAAGAAAAGAAAATGTTGTTGATTGCGTATTTTGTTACTGCTCGATCATTATCAAATATAACTCATTACTAAATTTTGACACTATTGACTGTATTATAGTCGACTGCATTATTGTTGACTTATTTCTATGTTTATTATAATATAGAATATGATAGGGTTTACCTATGAATATTAATGTATTGATGGGTTTAGATTTAGTAAGATTTGTACCGTGAATGAGGGAGCTATAGTTTTGTAAGCTACTAAACACTAGTATATGCATGAAAATGATTTTGTTATGGAAGGTCAGATGTTTCAGTCAGACGTCTCGAACATAGTTCAAATATGTAGTGTTATGACCATAGATATGAGAAGGAATGTATCAACATATACGCACAATGAAGTAGATTGAAGTGATAATGACCCAGAAAACTTGATAGATGACAAAATCTTATAGTCTGCTATAGATATTAAAAGTGGTACTGCCGAAAGAAAATTTTGTCACTATGTAGTGTATAAATATGAAATTAAAGTATATGTATGAAAAAAAAAAAAAAAATTATGAGCTAATACCATAAAAGTTGAAACACTCTTGTAAATGACACAAGTGCTTTTAATGGAAGCTGAGTTTTGGAAACAGTGAGACGTAGAAAACCTTTTTGCCTTACCACTAATTAGAAAATTTTAAATCTAAGTTTGAGAACAACTGCAAGTATGAAAGTCGTTATCATCAACGTCCATACTCATCATTATAAATGGGGAATTAACTTGATGTATATGTACACACAAAATGCATGAGGTCCCCCTGTAGTTTTCATTTTTAAATCATTCTTGTGACAACTCTATACATCATTCAGACGTTACCCTAGGTAACATGCAGGTATGGGTCGTTATAAGTTTATCATCATTAGTATCAATTAGGGTTGTGTCTTAGAAAACTCGTCATCATAGTGCATCATGACATTTAATACATGCACATCATCTTAATATGGAATATCATCATACTAAGTCATCCTCATCATTATACATCATCATGTTTTCGTTCATCATCATCATCATGTCATCATGTCATCATGTCATCATGTCATGTACATCATCACATCTTCATACAACGTGAAACATAAATAATACGTGCAAGGGCCACTGGGCACGTGTAGTCATACATAAGACAAGTCTTCCAACTAAGCCGATAGTAAGGTCACTTACTTGGTTAGCCTAAGCCGAAGCTACTACGACTCTTTGATGTTAGCTTAACATTACTCTCTGAAATTTAATTCTACGCAAGGAGTCTTTGCTCCTTGCTAGCTTAATGTTGCTCTATTAAATTTAATTCTATTTAAGAAGTCCAACAATCATAAATTAAAAAAAAATTTACAATGAGAACTGACTCGTCTAGTTTTGCCTAAAATACTTTAAACTTATTCAAAAATTTAAATGAGTTAAAAGGTAGTCATACTAAACTTAAAAGCTTTCGAAGAATCGAAACTAGAAAGAAAGTGTTCGAACGTATCATATCCAAGATGGATCAACCAAAATGCTAACGTTAAGCTATTAGAATGTGTACTCTCCGACTTGAACAACCTTATACATGATAGGTCAAATACGGAGCAAAATTTCTTTTTTATTCTAACATTTTTTTTGGTTATTACATAGGTAGGGCCCTCATGATAAAATCCACAGGGGTTCAAGATCCGTCCTTGACGGCCATTATTTTCGCTCTTTTCTTTTAATTATTTAATGTTTTTTTAAAGAAAATAGGACAATCTAACTGCCTTCTTATAATTATTTAGTTTTTCTAAAAGTAATTATTTAACTTTTATTTATTTATTTATTTTTTTTTGTTATGATATTACAACGTTGTTTTTTGTGTTTCTTAAAAAAAAAACATATTCGTTGAAGTATAATGCAATCCAGCTGTAAATTCAAAAATTTTAAATTGTTAAAGATAAATAAATTATATGAAATATTTATAAAAATATTTTTGTATTTAATTATAATTTAAAAATTTTATTGTTAATTATAGATTTTTAATGATATGTTCGTTTTTAAATAAATAAAAATTAAAATTAAAGTTTTTGTAAAAAAATAAAAAACATCTTTTTATCAATCTAATATAAAAACAGTGTTTAAATCGTCTCAACTCATATTATTGTTTTTTTGAAAGAAAATATAAATTAAAATAATAAAATAAGTTGATATATGAATTGAAGTTTTTATTTGATAAATAAAGTGTATAAATTAATAATTCTTATCTAAATTTCACACATTTCAAGAATATATTATAATAATAATAATAATAATAATAAAGATTTTTCTTTAAATAAAAAAGAATAAACAAATGGGAGAAATTCAAGCTCACCAAATGCGTGCGTCGGGGATGACGGCCTTAATTTTTAATATTTATTTATTTGCCTTCCATTTAATTTTCAACAAATATTCCAATAAAGGGAAAAAAAAAAAAAAAAGCCTATTGTAATGTGATTAAAACCAACTTTATTTTATATATTTTTCTCTATAAAAATATTTAAATTTTAAATAATTAAAGCACCGTATTTTAGGTGGAAGATTCACATGTCTAATTTTCAGATTTTATGTGATATTTAATAATTTATAAAGACAGTATAATAGATGTGTCATACTAATTATTTTAATATTTTTTTTAGGAATCAAATTAGACATTAATGTTGGTTTGATTGGTATAAGGTGTTTGTTTTTATTTCCTTTTGTTTGTTTGGAAAGTTGGTGTCTTTTTTCAATTTTGTCCTTCTTACTATTGTATTTTATTAGTCGTCCACTAATACGACGAGCCAAAATGGATAATATCGGTTAGTGGTGAGCTTGGGTTGTTACAAATGGCGACATAGGGTAGTGTGCCGACGACGAGAATGCTAGACCCTAAAAGGGTATAACACTAGGTGGTATGTCAGTGAGGATGCTGGACTCCAAGGAGTGTGACACCGGGTGATATGCTAGAGAGGACGCTGGCTCTCAAAGAGTGTGACATTTGATGGAATGCCAATAAGGACGCTCACTTCCAAGAGGTGAATTGGAATGAAGCAATTTTTATAAGGATCGATGCGTTGGATGTGACGCCTCCGATTACACGCGGACAACTATAAATACAGGCCAAACGAACTCAGAAATCCACAAGCAAGCGGAGTGAGAGAGAAAATGGATCTCACAAGAAAGATCCAGCAACAATTTCAAGCTCTCGATCCCATTTCTTTTTCCATATGCCTTTTCTTCTTCGTCATAGTTCTGTTAAGGCTCTTCAAACGCAACAAACCCAACTTACCTCCTTCACCACCAAGGCTACCCATCATAGGCAACCTCCACCAATTAGGTGCCCTGCCACACCAATCCATGGCAGCTCTTTCCAACAAATATGGCCCTCTAATGCTCCTAAAGCTTGGCCAGAAACAAGCCCTTGTGGTTTCATCACCAAAAATAGCTAAAGAAGTGATGAAGACCCATGACATCAAATTCTCCAACAGACTACAAACCACTGCCTCAAAGAAATTGCTGTACCAATGTCAAGACATTGCCTTTGTTCATTATGGTGAGTATTGGAGACAAGCCAGAAAAGTGTGCGCTCTTGAGCTTTTTAGTGTCAAAAGAGTGGACTCATTTCAGTACGTAAGGGATGATGAAGTTGGTGGGCTCATGGACAGGATTCGCAAGGCTAGTGTGGGCGGTGAGGCTGTGAATCTAAGCCAGTTGTTCCTTCAAACATCGAACAATATAGTGTCGAGATGTGTCTTGGGAGAGAAATTTGAGGATGAAAATGGGAATAGTCGATTTGGAGACACAGCCAGAAAGCTTATGGTGCTAATTGTGGCGTTTTGTGCAGCTGATCTTTTTCCTTCTCTTTGGTGGATTGATATTATTAGAGGGTTTGATAAAGAGTTGAAAGATTGCTTCAAAACACTGGATACATTCTTTAGCAAAGTGCTTGAAGAACACAAGGAAAAAATAAGATCTGGTGTTCTAACTGATGAATCTAAAATGGATTTTTTGGATATCATGTTGCAGCTCCAACAGGACGACATGGTTGACTATAATTTCTCTTCTGACAATCTCAAAGCAATCGTACTGGTTTGTTTTCTGTCCATTTAACCCTCGAAGCAATCGTTCTAGTTTGTTTTTTTTGCACGGATGTCCATTTAACCTGTGTGGTCCTACTTTTGATGTTGGATTGCAGGACATGTTTGTTGGTGGCAGTGACACAACAGCGACGGTACTAGAGTGGACAATGACAGAGCTGATGGGAAACCCAGCAGCCATGAAGAAAGCCCAAGAGGAAGTAAGAACAATAACAGGAAAGAAATCAAAGATCAAAGCCGAAGATATTCAAAAGATGGAGTATATTCAGTGTGTCATAAAGGAATCTCTAAGGCTCCACCCGCCAGTTCCTCTGCTAGTGCCACGCGAAACAGCAGAAGATGTGGAGATCGACGGCTACCATATTCCATCAAAAACAAGAGTTTTTGTGAACGCCTGGAAAATCCAAAGGGATCCCGAATATTGGAAGAATCCAACAGAGTTCATCCCAGAGAGGTTTATGGATAACTGTTTAGTGGATTACAAAGGCCAAGACTATGAGTTTATTCCATTTGGGAGTGGGAGAAGGAAGTGCCCAGGAATGTCATTTGGGGTTTCTTCCTTTGAACAGGCATTGGCTAATCTTCTCCATTGGTTTGATTGGAAGCTTCCCAGTGGCTATGAATTAAGCGTTGAAGAAGCAAATGGCCTCACTGTTCGAAAGAAAACCCCCCTCGTTCTTAACCCAATGCCATGTTTCTAATTGAATTTAAATAAATAATTCTCATGTGGGTAACTTTATTATGCAGTTATATTTTGTGTAAACAAGTTTATTGGTCGTTATGAATTTATCTAAACTATATAGGTCACATGAGACACTTCTATCACATAGGGGGTCTCCCGTTCAAAAAAAATTGGATGTGTAGTACATCCCTATATATACGACCCACACGTGCGAACGTGGGTCCACCAAAAGAGCTCGCACACCCCCTAGCCTTGTATAGTTAAGCTAGCTGGTTGTAACCGGACGTCCGGAAATACAACAATCCCTTGAATATCATGCAAGCATGATGATGATGATCATTATCACAGTGTACATCTCCGTACTCATCATATAAAAGAAGAAGTAACTCAATGTAAATAAACATACAATATGCATGATGTCTCTATTATTTCCATCTTAAATCATTCATGTAACACAACTCCATACATCATTCACATATTACTCTAAGTAACATGCATGCATAACCTCTCGTACATTCATCATAACATCATCGTAACACATCATAATGTCATATCAAATCACATCATCATACCACATCATAATATCATATCGAATCACATCATCATAACACATCATAATGTCATATAAACAGACATGACACGTGCAAGGGCCACTGGGCACAAGTCATCATACATAAAACAAGTCTTCTGACCAAGTCGATAATAAAGTCACTTACATGGATGGTCATACAAGCAAATATCGTGCTAACCTAGGATGGATCAATTCATGAATATAATGCAAAATACAAAGAAGTGAATAACCAAAATGTCTGAGTACCTTGGATTCACGAAACAAACACAAGCCTAAAATTTTTTAGGAGCTAACCATGGGTCAATCCTAGCAAAAACTTCTTCGAACAAGGTCCGAGCATCAAGTAAACCAAACAACACATGCCCAAAAGTAAACTAATCCCTTGGACTGCTACAAAAAACCTCATCAAATTTCAAAGTAGCACGATCTAATTCTAAATTTTCACCCAATTGAGCACATCTAGCATATTTTTTTCATAGTTGCAAGATCACTAACCGACTCCATTGAGTTTACCATTATAGAACTCAATAGTTACATCGACCCATTCAACATCATATTTCGATTCTCCTATTCGAAAAATGAACATCAGATCTAACAATTTCATCTCCGTCTACCAAAACAATAGGAAATGTTTCAAAAAAAGGTCAACATACAACATACAAAAACTTTCGAGGAATGGGCCAAATCATGTCATTTCTCGAGATGTCTTTATAATGTTTCCTTCTCCAACATGTCTTTATAATCAGCACTTGTGCCCTTTAGTTCATAACTTATGCCTTAAAGTCATGTACTTGTTCCGACATTTGGCCCTTGACTGTCTTGTCAACATCCTTGTTTCGACATACTCGAGTGTCTTAACCTTACTTGGGATCTTACAAATTTTCACCCTCTTAAGCACTTTCGTCCTCGAAAGTTCATTGTTCTTACCTTGTCTTGGGGTACTTATCCTTAGTTATGTCCTTTCAAGTTTCTTAAGGGTTCATTTGTAGGTTTTTCATTCTCCAACATGTCTTTATGATCAGCCCTTGTGCCCTTTAGTTATTTACTTGTGCTTTAAGACCATGTACTTGTTCCGACATTTGGGCCTTCACTGTCTTGTCAACATCCTTGTTTCGACATACTCGAGTGTCTTAACCTTACTTGGGATCTTACAAAATCTCAACCTCTTAAGCACTTTCGTCCTCGAAAGTTCATTGTTCTTACCTTGTCTTAGGGTACTTATCCTTAGTTATATCCTTTCAAGTTTCTTAAGGGTCCATTTATAGGTTTTTCATTCTCCAACATGTCTTTATGATCAGCCCTTGTGCCTTTTAGTTCTTAACTTATGCTTTAAGGACATGTACTTGTTCCGACATTTGGGCTTTCACTGTCTTGTCAACATCATTGTTTCGACATACTCGAGTGTCTTAACCTTACTTGGGGTCTTACAAAATCTCAACCGCTTAAGCCCTTCGTCCTCGAAAGTTCATTGTTCTTACCATGTCTTGGAGTACTTATCCTTAGTTATGTCCTTTCAAGTTTCTTAGGGTCCATTTATAGGTTTTTCCTTCTCCGACATGTCTTTATAATCAGCCCTTGTGCCCTTTAGTTCTTAACTATGCCTTAAGGCCAAGTACTTGTTCCGACATTTTTCCCTTGACTGTATTGTCAACATCCTTGTTTAGATATATTCGAGTGTCTTAACCTTACTTGGGGTCTTACAAATTCTCACCCTCTTAAGTAGTTTCTTCCTCGAAATTTCTTTTTCTTATCTTGTCTTGGGGTACTTATCCTTCGTTATGTCATGCCAAGTTTCTTTAGGGTCCATTAATAGGTTTGTCCTTCTCCGACATGACTTTATAATCAGCCCTTGTGCCCTGAAGTGCTTAACTTATGCCTTAAAGCATGTACTTGTTCCGACATTTGGCCCTTGACTGTCTTGTCAACATCCTTGTTTTGACATACTCTAGTGTTTAAACTTTACTTGGGATCATACAAATTCTCACCATGTTACGAACTTTCGTCCTTGAAAGTTCATTGTTCTTACCTTGTCTTGGGGTACTTATCCTTAGTTATGTCCTTCCAAATTTCTTAAGCGTCCATTTATAGGTTTGCCCTTCTCCGACATGTCTTTATAATCAATCCTTGTGCCATTTAGTTCTTAACTTATGCATTAAGGTCATGTACTTTTTTCGACATTGCCACTTGACTGTCTTGTCAACATCCTTATTTCGACATACTCGAGTTCTTAGCCTTACTTGGGGTCTTACAAATTCTCACCCTCCTACGAACTTTCATACTTGAAAAATCATTGTTCTTACCTTGTCTTAGGTACGTATCCTGAGTACCCCAAGACAAGGGTCCATTTATAGGTTTTCCCTTCTCCGACCTGTCTTTATAATCAGCCCTTGTGCCCTTTAGTTCTTAACATATGTCTTTAGGCTATGTACTTGTTCCGACATAATCGAGCATCTTAACCTTACTTGGGGTCTTACAAATTCTCACCCTCTTAATAAATGTCGTCCTCGAAAGTTCATTGTTCCTACCTATTTTCGAAGTTTCTAAAGTTTCCCATCTCCACCATGTCTTTAATCAGCCATTGTACCCTTTAGTTATTAACTTATGCCTTAAGGCCATGTACTTGTTTCGACATTTGCCCCTTGACTGTCTTGTCAACATATCCTCATTCCAACATATTCGAGTGTATAAATCTTACTTGGGTTCTTACAAATTCTCACCCTCTTATGAACTTTCGTCCTCGAAAGTTTATTGTTCTTACCTTGTTTTGGGGTACTTATCCTTAGTTATGTCCTTCCAAGTTTCTTAAGGTCCATTTATAGGATTGTCCATCTCCGACATGTCTTTATAATTAGCCCTTGTGCCCTTTAGTCACTTACATGGATGGCCATACAAGCAAATATCGTGCTAACCTAGGATGGATCAATTCATGAATATAATGCAAAATACAAAGAAGTGAATAACCAAAATGTCCGAGTACCTTGGATTCACGAAACAAACATAAGCCTAAAATTTTCGAGGAGCTAACCATGGGTCAATCCCAGCAAAAACTTCTTCGAACAAGGTCCGAGCATCAAGTAAACCAAACAACACATGCCCAAAAGTAAACTAATCCCTTGGACTGCTACAAAAAACCTCATCAAATTTCAAAGTAGCACGATTTAATTCTAAATTTTCATCCAATTGAGCACATCTAGCCTATTTTTTTCTTAGTTGCAAGATCACGAACCGACTACATTGAGTTTACCATTATAGAACTCAATAGTTACATCGACCCATTCAACATCATATTTTGATTCTCCTATTCGAAGAATGAACATCCGCTCTAACAATTTCATCTCCGTCTACCAAAACAATAGGAAATGTTTCAAAAAAAGGTCAACATACAACATACAAAAACTTTCGAGGAATGGGTCAAATCATGTCATTTCTCGAGAACAATAGCTAAGAGTCCTGATACTACCTCTTGGATCTGGAACCTATTGGAGGAGATCTCTGGGCTGAATGGGCTATTGCTTCACTGCTGAATAGGTCTGAATATCATGATAATGGCCTCTTAACGGTAGGTAGAATGGGAATAGACTCAAAAGTTTCTCACGTTCCTCAAATCACTCAAAATCTTATCACTGTTGCTCGTTTAGCTCAAGAAATGACTGTTTTGTCAAGGACAAGGCAACAAGGAAAGTAATGCTACAAAAGGTACTTAAGGAAGGTCTGTATCAGTTGAAGCTACCACTCCTAGGATCTCAGCTCAAACACATCAGCTATGTCTCCTACTCCTACTGTGAATAGTTTAAGCTCAAACACATCTCCTACTGTGAATAGTTTAATGTCTATGGCTAATGGGCTGATCACATGTTGAGATTCAGTTCCAGATTACACTGAACAAGTTGGAGAAGCCCTAGAAAATATGGAAATCCCAAACCAATCTAATTATCTGATGCAGACAAGGTCTAAAAGCGGTATTCTTTACATCTAAATACTGGAATTTCTTGGTCTAACACAAACATAAAGCTTTGTCAAATGAGTTTAATAATCAAGAACCTATGTCGGTGTTCATAGATATGAGAATGGACTGTACTCTTAAGGCTTGTTCAAATCCAACTGTACAGCACATGATGGTCAGGTAAATGACTAATCCTAATCCTATAGTTTATGTAAGTGCAATTGGGCTTCACAATACACATCCAGAGATTGCATGCATAATTAGCAAACTGACTCAATATTTGTAGAATCGCAATACATTACAGCAGTCAAAAGTGCACAGAGATATCTACAAGAAACTTCAAAGCATGGTTTATGCAAACCCGAATCACAATCATGTGATTCGGGGGTTGAAGCTATAACAGCCCAATCCCACTGCTAGCAGATATTATTCTTTGTGGGTTTTCCCTTTCGGGTTTCCCCCTAAGGTTTTTAAAACACATTTGCTAGGAAGAGATTTCCCCACCCTTATAAAGAATGCTTCATTACCCTCCCTTAAATCGATGTGGGATCTCGCAGAAGCCTTCATGACAGGTGATGGGTACAAGCCCAAGTGCATGCTTCTCAAGTAATAGATGGAGAGTACTCCAAGTATTGAATATTAAAGGAATAGATGTAACAAAATTCAACTGAGCAACAAAAACTCTCTGTAACGTTTGTGACT